CATTGCTTAAAGAAGCATATACGAAACACCTTTTTTTACCTTCGGCATTTTTTCGATAGCCTAAAATCATACTTCATATTAAAAAATTGTTAATAAAATATTACAAATCATTCTAATACATGCTGCGGCTCTAATTACATCTTTATTTTTAAAAATTAATTCACCAAATATGAAAAAACGTCGAAAAATTAAAAATACTTATCTCAAAAAAGTCTTGAAAATAAACGGTTAATCACTGAAAAATGACATAATAACCAAAAGGGCAATGACTGTTATTTGTTATTAATTGCAAGATAGTAGTTGTTCTCTATAACTTTCGGTAAATCGAGTCAAATTACGTTAAAACAAATTTTTTTACTTATTATTAAACTTATTTTCATGCATATAATTAAAAAATAATAATGATATGTATAATTTTTTCGTTAAAAAGTCAAAGAAAGTATCACCACTAACCTTGCAAATTTACAACTAAATTGACAAAATTTCAAAGAGCTAAGGACACTGTTCTCGAAAAGTGCTATTATTTTCATAATAGTGAGTCAAAGAATAAAAATCTTTTTACACTATTAGCAGAATATTCTGTAGAATTTATATAAATAAATAAAACAAAATATTATATGTAAATTTCGTTATTATTTCTGTTTGTAATGTAATGGTGGCAATCACTGTGAGGGGGGCAACAACTGTACCGCTTACCCCTAATAATGAATTAATTAGTTAATTAATTAATAATTATAATTTTTTAAACTTTTTTAAACTTTGACAATACTGGGCCACTAATGGCAGCAAAGATTGTCCCAGTAATGGCGTTCCGATACTTGGTTGCCGAAGTCCAACCGCAGTTAACACCACAAGATTCGGCCCAGTATTGTTTGCCAAGACTTGGTGCCTGATTTGATAATGCTGTACCAATATTGGGCCGTTTTGGTTTTCGCACTTGCGGGTATATGCATATAATAAATGAAGTATTAAGGAACATGACGAACAAAAAAATTGCTAAATTCAATAATTTCGGAATTATTCTACCATTGAAAAAAAACCAATTTTCTAATATTCATAACTCGAAAATTCAAGCACTTTATAAAAGAGAAGATGATAATCAGAAAAAATTTTAAGAAAAAGAGATATAAAAATAAAAAGGGTGATAGGAGGCAAAAAATATATTCAGTAAAAGAATAGAAATGTATTTCAGAAAAAGGAGATTTAAAAAAAAGAAAAAAAAAAGAATTTAAACAAGAAGGGGGTCCTTTATGTTTATTTCATAAACATTATGCTTCCTCATTATGTGAAGCAAAAAATTCGCTTCCTCGTGAAGGAAGCAATGAATTTGTCCAATTCAATTGATTGATTTAAAAAATTTCGAGTTAAAAATGTTTTAAATTAATTAAATTTTTTGAAAAATAAAGAAAATTTTAATTAATTTTGAGTGTAACATAAACTTTATATATACGAATCGATTCGTTTTAATGCAAGGAATACAATTATTTTATTCATCAACTTGAATTTTAAAAAAACACAAAATTTTTTAGCTAAAATATGAATTTTCGATTTTTCAATTTTTATTAATTCTCAAATTTTCAATCAAATCTATACTTTATATATACCAACCAATTCGTTTCAATGCAGGGAATAAAATTATTTCATATATAAACATGAATTTAAATAAACACATCATTTTTTAGCTAAAATGAGAATTTTTGATTTTTTAACTTTCATTAATTCTTTAAATTTCAATCAAATCTATATTTTATATATATATCAATCGATTCATCTTAACATAAAGAAGACGATTATATTATATATTACCTTAAATTTTTCGATTTAAAAATTTTTTCAATTAAAAAAAAATTTTTGGAAAAAAGACGATAAAATTTTTTTTTTGGGGTATTTTTAAAAATCCTCTCGTCATTTTTGAGAGATTAATGTGTTAAATAAGCCTACCACACACACACACACACACACACACACACATACATACATCCGGACAATTGATCAGGATCTCATATAACATGTTTCTATATATAGAGGAAAATTTGTTTTCACCATTTTTAAAAATTTTATAAACGAAAGGACTACATAGCTTCCTCCACGAGGAAGCAAAAAGATTAGAAAAACGAAGCGAAAATAAAAAGTAAATAGAAGTAAGGAGAAGATGAGTTAAAGTTAGAGGTGGTATAGATAAAAAAAAGTCTAAGAAAAAAAAAGAGGTGTAAATCCCCTCTCAGAAAATAGAATGAGAATAAGAACAAAAAAGAAAGTGAGTTTAAAAAAAAACGTGTTCATCAGGGAAGAAAGTTTTTAGGAAAAAAAAGAGGTGGAGTAGACATTTAGAAAAAGATAAATTTGAAACTACACTAAAATGTATCAAGGCAAAAACATTTTGAGAATATGAAATAGGGCGAAAAATATTTTAAAATAACAAATAATTTTGCACAAATGCATAAAATATATAATAATTACCAAACTTGCTAGACTTGTTCATCTTGATTGAAAACTGCTTGTAATCGCGTATAATAAAGAGAAATATGTTTTTTTAAGTAAAAAGTTTAGCCAACTTAAATAATTGGCTTTAAATTTGAAAACTTATGAAATCAATTATTATTTAAATAAATAATAATTCATCTTTTTTACTTAAAAATTACTATAAATATTCCTAATGGTAAAGAAAATCATTCTATACTATTGTTGAAATTAGGAAAAAATAATTGTTATTCAAAATCACTCTGCAAATGCTGTCAAAATTTAGAATTCTGAAATTCCGATCAGGATCATTTTTGCGGTAACTTGAAGTTTGTCATTTATTCAATTTGATACCCAATTCAAAATGAGTTGCAACAAAAATAAGTCCAATTTTTTTCTATGCACACATCTAAGGTTGATTTCACATTAGCTAAATCGCATCGTCTTGAAGACAATTTTTTAGAATGAGAAGATGAGCGCACATACAAAAAAATTTATTTTAAGTGTCCCTCACAGCACCAGATATCCTAGGATATTCCAAAAACATCCCTTGGATATCCTAAGGATACTTTAAGGATATCCAAAGTAGCGGCGGTTAGGATATCCTAGGGATATTCCAGGGATATCTAAGGATGTCCCTAGGACGTCCCAGGGATATCCTAATTATTTCCCCGGATATTATTAGGATATCCTGTGGATATCCTTAGAACGTCCCAAGGATATCCTCAGGACAATCACGGGAAACCTATCCCTCACAACACAAGGATATTCAGGATATCCCTGGGACGTCCTGGGGATATCCATTTGCTTTTGGCGATTCGGATATCCCTAAGATATCCTCTGGATATCCATGGACATCTCTAAGATATCCCAGGGATATCCAAACCGCCGAAAACAAATCGATATCCCCAGGACGTCCCAAGGATATCCTGAATATCCTTTTGTTGTGAGGGATTTGTATAAAAAAAATCGCTATCTCAAATAGTCAAAATTTGAATCATAATGATATCCTAGGGAGATCTTAGCGATATTTCTAGAATATTTTAACGATATACCAAGTTTATCCCAAGAATATCCCCACGATATCACTAGGATATCCCTTGAATATCCTTAGGATATCCCAAAAATATCCTACGTAACGGCGGTTTGGATGTTCTGAGTATATCCTCAGGATACCCAAGGATATCCTATGGACGTTTTCAGGATATCCTACATTAGTTTAGGATATCCTGAGGATATACTCAGGATATCCTTTTGTTGTGAGGAGTTGCACTATTCCTAAAATTTTAGCTAGTTAATATTAATGAAATTACAAAAAAAAATGTTGTTTTTTTAAAGAAAATAAAAATATTAAAAAATTCTTCCAAGACGAAGTATTTTTTTAAATGTTTGGCAGTTGGCAATGGTTGCGCTAGCATCGCCTAGTCCTAAAAGCGATTTAGCTATTGTTTAAGCAGCCTAAAGAACATAAAATTAACTACATCCTAATAACACAAGATATCTTGGGATATATTGATAATATCCCGCAGATATCCTAGGGATGTCCTATGGATATCAAAAGGATCTCTTAAGGATATCCAAAAAATCGGCGGTTTGGATATCCCATGGATATCTGAGGATATCCACAGGATATCTTCTGGATATCTCTATAGACTTTCATAAATGTCCTCCAGATATCCCATAGATATCGTCAGGATATCCCACAGATATTTTCAGGATATTCTCAGTATATCTTCTGGATGTCAAGAAGATATTCTCAGGATACTGTTTTTAAAGTCATTATGAGACTACGAGTGAGAATATTCTGTGAATTAAATTTTATAATTTTAACTATTAATATTAATTATACATTAAGTGCATGAGTTTATTTAAAAACTTTATAAAATGCGTTTCAAATCTTCATTTAAAATAAATTAGAAGCTCATAAGATTTTTGTTTTTATTATATTATAATTCATTATATTAGCTTAACAATTTTAACCTTTAAAAATATATGTTGAGATATTAAATATCCCGTGAATATCCTAAGAATATCCCACGGACATCCTGAGGATATCCCATGGATATCCTGCGATATAATATCCAATAGATATTTTGTGGATGTCTTAGGGATATCCTGTGGATATCCTATGGATGTCCTGTTGATGTCCCACAGACCGGCGGTTTGGATATTCTAGGGATATCCTGGAGACCATTCTAGGATATCGACCATTGATATGGATATCCTATGGATATCCTAGGGATATCCTTTTGTTATGAGGGCAGTAATAAATGAATTATTTTTAAAATATAAATAATTATAATACATAGGTATATAATAGCAGTCAAAAAAAGTAGAAAATATATTAAAAAAATAGAGTAAAATAAAAAAAAAAGGTATATCATCATATACAAATAAGTATAACAGTAAATGCAAAAAGGATACAGGTCAATTTTCAGTATAAGCCTTATAAGTGTCAGACAAATGAAGCTATTAAAGGCGATAGAAAATAGTTTTTATAACTCTTGTAATGTATAGATTGTTTAATTTTCTTTTTACAGCGACATGGGTCGGTGGCGCCTTCGTGAATGGAACTGCCGAGGCGATGTACACAAGAGGTCTGGCATGGTGCCAGGTTCCCATTTGCTACAGTCTCAGTTTGCTTTTTGGTACGAGTAAACCTTCACAGAATGTATCTTGATAGCATATCTAGATAACCAAAAAAAAAAAAAAAAGTTACGAGTTTCTGAAAAGAATCCAAGACCTATGATTTTACTCTTTTCTTGAATTTTTGTCAATGTTTACTATTTTAAATATTAAAATTTTAATAGAGAAAAATAAAATCTTAAGGGTATATTATGATATTGTCGAACGAGATATAAAACTTTTAATTTCCTTTTTTTAATCTAAAAATAGGTTTTTTAAAGTTTTCCATGGCTTTTAATCGAAGAATTATGAAAATCGAAGCGGTAAAAAATAATTATGGGATAAAAAAAGTCCCTTAAAAGCGTTTTCTGTCAACTTTATAATTTTAATTAGTAAATTTTTTACTAATTGTTAGTAAAAGAAAACGATTATTATTAATTTAAGAAGGAAAAAGTCGTCCTCTTTTATTAGTAGGGAATTACTATAATTTCAAAAATTATTTCATAGTTACCTACTCTATAAATAAATTAGTAGAATTTTAAAATGCAAATTCGTCATTTTTCCATCGTTTAAATAACTTTTTCTAAAAAAATTTTTAAAAAATACAATGGAAGTTTGTATTTAATAATATTATGTAAAATTACTAACACTTAGAAAAATATTCGACAAATCAGATGTCATTTGACGAAGTACGATGTTTAGTATTACCGATACTGAACACTAGGAACGCTACCATCGCGTCACATGACCATTTCACTGAAATTTAATGAATGAAAACTATTTAAAAAAAATAAAAATTACAATTTAAATTTTTCTTACTAATTTTAATGGGGCGCATAAATTTTTAAATATTCCCTCACAACAAAAGGATATTCAGGATATCCTTGGGACGTCCTGGGGATATCGATTTGTTTTCGGCGGTTTGGATATCCCTGGGATATCTTAGAGATGTCCATGGATATCCAGAGGATATCTTAGGGATATCCGAATCGCCAAAAGCAAATGGATATCCCCAGGACGTCCCAGGGATATCCTGAATATCCTTGTGTTGTGAGGGTTAGTTAAAATTTTTATTTTAAAGAATTTTATAAGATGGGTCAGAATTTCTCAAACACAGTAAACTTGGTTGTATCTTTTTCTATTGCAACGTTTTGATGCACATAAGTTATATCAAAAAGAGATCGTTTTGTGTATCATTTTTAGAAATGATACACGAAACGGTCTCATTTTTTGATGCAAAAAATTGAATCAATTTATATCAATCATGGCCGAATTGAATCGACTCAAAATTAAACGAATTTTTTTCAGATATTTTGGTAATAGTACAATTGCGGAGACCATTTCACTATTTAATTTGAAAATGAAAATAACAGAAAATCAAAGACAATGTGCAATTCGATAATTAAAAAGTGACAGCTTATAAACATAACCTAAAATGCATGAGAAGAAATTTGTCGATAAAATCAATATAGCCGAGCTTTTTAGAAGGTAGATGGCAGCACTCATCTATTTTCTTTCTTTAAATTTTTTCTGAATCGTTTTTATAAAAAGCAAAACTGCCATCTACCTTCTAAAAAGCTCGGCTATATTGATTTTATCGACAAATTTTTTCTCATGCATTTTAGGTTATGTTTATAAGCTGTCACTTTTTAATTATCGTATTGCACATTGTCTTTGATTTTCTGTTATTTTCATTTTCAAATTAAATAGTGAAATGGTCTCCGCAATTGTACTATTACCAAAATATTTGAAAGAAATTCGTTTAATTTTGAGTCGATTCAATTCGGCCATGATTGATATAAATTGATTAAATTTTTTGCATCAAAAAATGAGACCGTTTCGTGTATCATTTCTAAAAAAAATACACAAAACAATCTCTTTTTGATATAACTTATGTGCATCAAAACGTTGCAAAGATTTGATGCAATTTTTGGTCTCAATTTGATACTTTTAGGAAAACTGTGAACGGATCGGATTACCTAAAATTAAGAAATTTAATTTTCATAATATTAAGGGTGTCCAATGGTCTCTGGAATTTTTTTGGCAAGGAGAGACCTTCAATTACCGCACTATAAAAACGGCACTGAATGTAAAAAAAAAAAAATAAAAAACATTGATTTTAAAATAATTTTTTTTCGAAATATGGACACTTTTTACAAAATTGGCCAAAACACCAAGGATCCTTATCTTATAAATTTCCTAAATCCTAAAGATTGTGTGAATTTGTACAAAAATGGGATTAAAAAACGAAAAGTAGGAAAGTAATAGAATAACAACTTCGACTTTGTGCTCCCTGCATGTTTCTGCCACCTGGCGGCGGTAGAATGTAATGGAGCTCTCATTATATTATTTTTTCCTACTTTTCGTTTTTCAAGCGCGTTTTTGTATAGATTCGCACAATCTTTCGAATTTAGGAACTTTATAAGATAAGAATCCTTGGTGTTTTGGCCGATTTTATTAAAAAATTTCGAGAAAGAAGTATTTTAAAATCAATGTTTATCATTTTCACGTTCAGTGCCGTTTTTATAGGGCGATAATTAATGGACTCTTCTTGCTAAAGAAAAAGTTTATATATAAATCTACATATTTCGTTGGTAAAATATATTAAAGAACTAATTGGTAAAATAAAATTTCTACATTTAGATTTAGAGTTTGGTTGAAATAGTAGTAATTTTTTTTTTTTTTGCTTCTTATTTTTGGAACAGGTGCAATACTGTTTGTGAAACCAATGAGAAAGGCGGAATACATTACGATGCTTGATCCACTGCAGCAACGTTATGGTGCCAAGGTTGGTGGTTTATTGTTTCTACCGGCACTTTGCGGTGATTTGTTTTGGTGTGGAGCGGTCTTACGAGCTTTGGGAAGTTATCTCTCAGTGATCACAGGACTAGACACATATCTTAGTGTTTGTGCTTCCGCTCTCTTGGCAGCAATGTGAGTTTTTGAATCCATTTTTTTTCCTGTCAAAAAAAAAAAAAAAATCTTTATGCTTATTCATTTCTGCTTTTTAAAAAAAATATAATAATACAATTTTTCTTCCATTTTAGATATTCCCTCTTTGGTGGAATGTACTATTTAGCGGGAACAGATGCTTTACAATTAATTTGCATTATGCTTGGTCTTGGAATTTCTGCGCCTTATATTATATTTCATCCTGCAGTTGCACTTGAAAAAAAATTGGCTCGACAAGATTGGATTGGCGAAATCAGAAATGAAGATCTTGGTCTTTGGGTGGATGGTGCACTTTTATTAATTTTTGGTGGAATTCCTTGGCAGGTATATAAAAAAAGAAATAAAAAAACTATTCTTTTTTTGTTACTAAAAAATAAACACATATATATGTAATTATTATCGTCATCGACAAATAGAAAATTACACAATTTTATCTGCTTTTACTCCGTCTGACTCAATGTGGATTTAATCACTCACTCTCAATTACTCTTTCAGTAGTTAAGTACTTTTTTTAGTCAGACACAATATTGATTTTTCGATTCCGAACTTTTCTGTTAATAGAATCTCTCTGATTTAAAATTGCTTTTTTAATGACTTTTCATTAATTGTGAAAAGAGAGAAAATTTATCTGATTCCATTAATAGAAATTATTTATATAATAATAAATTGCTTTTTACGAACACTGTAAAAAAAAAGTGAAGTTAAATTTTCAACTCCCAAAATGATTCTATAAAAGTGGGATCCATTTGGAGTTAATTTTTACTCTCTAAATCTGAATTAGTAAAAAATGTTTACTAATTTAAATTAGTGACTCACTTTTTGCTTTAGAATTAGTTAAATTTTACTAATTGTTAGTAAATGTTACTAATAATTAGTAAAAATTTTACTAATTCAGAAGCAAAAAGTGAGTGACTAATTCACTTTGATTGCAATTAACTCCTCAAATTTTTGTTTACAGTTACAATGATAGTTATTCATTGAGTTAAAGGTGCTTAATTAATAGTAATATTTTTGGTTCTGTTAAAAACTACTTTTTAGTTTAAGGTTATGTTAATGGGTTGAACCTCATTAAAAAAATATTTTAATATATTTCTGATATATGTAAAATGGTATTAAGTAATATAATAGTGTAACAAAAAAAAATCGAAGATAATTTTCCTTTTGAATAGGGTTATTTCCGGCGAGTTCTGAGTATGAAAAGTAGTTCAATGGGAAGGACACTCTCGATCACATCGATGATCGGTTGCATGGCTTTTGCCGTTCCAGCAGCATTGATGGGCGTTGTGGCCCGTTCTACAGATTGGTATTTAGTCGAGGGCTACAATAGAACTATATCGATGGATAACGGAAATGCAATATTACCTGTGGTATTAAGGTTTTTAACTCCCCAATGGGTGTCTTTTATTGGTAAGCTTCCTATTCAAAATCATTTTTTCAAATCTAAACTAAACTAAAAAAAAACGTAAAAATACATATATAGTAAAATATATTTGAAATACATATATTCTATTTATAAATTTAAAGAAAACAAATTATTTTTAATCAATTTCGATTTAGGCTTAGGATCAATGGCGGCTGCGGCAATGTCTTCTGCAGATTCTAGTATTCTTTCAAGTAGCTCTATGTTTGCTAGAAATGTTTATCGATTCGCATTACGACCAAAGGTTTGTTGTAAAAATACAAATTTATTATTAATTTTTTCAAATTATTATAGCATAATGAAAATTTGATTCTATTATTTTCTTTACTTTCAGGCATCAGAAAGAGAATTAAGGTGGATTTTAAGATTCGCAGTGATTGCCGTCACTTCTCTTTCAGCTGGAGTTGCTATTACATTTGGCAGTATCTATCGAATGTCGTACGTTTACTTTAATTATCATAATAATTTCTTAAATAAAAATTCTTTTGGGAATTAGCAGAATCCAAATAAATTTAATTAAAAATGTTTATTTATAATAGGGTTTCGTAGTCAAGTCTAGGTTCGAAACCCTTTTAACGTGTCTTTCCGTCCATCCGTCGTACATCACAGATGAGAATTGAGACCATTGAAATAGTTAAGAATGTTGAGATTTGAGTTCATTGAGACTGTTGAGATAATTGAAATCGTTAAGAATGTTGAGATTGAAGACCGTTGAGACTGTTGAGATCATTATTAAAACCTATGAGACTTGAAATTTGAAACTGTTGGAACTTAAGTCTATTGACAACATTATGATTGTTGAGACTTGAGATCGTTGAGGTCATTGAGTTTGTTGTGACTTGAGACCATTGAGACTTAAGTCTGTTGATAACGTTGAGATTGTTAGAACTTGAGACCGTTGAGACTGATCAGATTTGAGTCGGTTAAAAACGTTGAAACTGTTTAAATCGTTAAGTTGTGAGTCTGTTAATATTTACGACTATTAAGACTGTTTAATACTGTTGAGACTGAAAAGACTTGAGTTTGTTGAAACCGTTGAGACTTGATACCATTTAGACTGTTGAGATTTTAAATCCACGAGACACTATGATTTCTTATTGTACCAAAAACAACCGACAAAATTTTGACTAACTTTTATGTGCTTAATCTGAATCTGGCATCAAAATTGACGCAGAACATCAGGTTCTTGAGATATTCTAGGCTAAAAGTGCAAAAAGTAAAACGTTTTTTATAATATTTGAGGTCATGTAACATCAAGAGATAATTTTTTTTCAAGAAGGTTGTTACAGCATCTGAAAATACTATTCTTACCCTTTAAAATGCATTTTGAAAATTTTAAAAATCTTTATTTGCCTCTAAGTTATCGTTATTTGAATTTTTTGAATCTGATACACGAATATTGAAACATTCACCACTCAAAAAATTCAAATGACGATAACTTAAAGCCAAATAAAAATTTTTAAAATTTTCGAAATGTATTTTAAAGGGTAACAATAGTATTTTCAGATGCTGTAACAACCTTTTTGAAAAAAAATTATCTCTTTTGATGTTTCATGACCTCAAATATGATAAAAAAAAACTTTTTTTTGCAATTTTAGGTTAGAATATCTCAAAAACCTGACGTGCTGTGTCAATTTTGAGGTCAGATTCGGATTTAGTACATCAAAATGCTTCGGAAAAAGTATAGTCTTATTCTTGGTTCTGAAGGTGGACAAAATTTTGTTGGCTTGTGTAATTAAAAATTTATACAAATAATAAATTTTTCTAGATTCTTGTGCTCTGAATTCGCATACGTTGTGCTTTTCCCACAACTTTTGTCCGTAATTTATTGGCCTTCTTTGGTAAACACTTGTGGATATTTCGCTGGATTTGCTACCAGCATTGTGTGTCGTTTGACAGGTAATTATTTATTTCCTTTTTTTTTTAACAGATAAAAATCTGTATTTAATTGTCAAATAATATTGTGAATTGTACAATTTATAAATAAATTGAAATTGTTAGAGTAATTATATTAAATTTCCATTTCAGCTGGAGAGGAATTACTAGGAATTCCAATTTACGTAGAGTATCCATTTTTCGATCGAAAAAATAATATACAACGATTTCCATTTCGAACTACAGCAATGTTGAGTGGACTTTTAGTACAACTTATTGTTAGTTTCATAACAAAATTGTTTCTAAAAGACGATTATCCTTCAGGAAAGTCCAAAAATCAAACTGGAGTTGTCCTAAGTACATCAGGAGCAACACTTATTGACTCAACGTTAAATGTAAGTCTTTTGAAAAAATTAAAATTATTATAAAATATAAATGATTTAGATAATAATAAAATTTATTATGAAATTAAAATCCAAATCACTTTAATTTATTCACTGGAATAAATTATGATTCTATCTATTATTGAAATTTCTTTAAAAAAGGAATCATCAAGTGGACCAAGTACATTGGACGGTGATAGAATGAGCGCGAGCATAACAATGACAAGTCAATTGAATCGTTACGATGCCTCAAATGAATTCTATCAAATTACTAAGAGCTGCACCGAGGAGAACATTCAAATAGCAAATCAGAGTTTAAGAAATTTGCAGAACTTACAAGAAACTGTGAGGTCACCCAATCGATTGAATCCAATTCCTCATCCCCCGGTTATCAACCACACTGGTCAAATTCTTGGTGTGAGAAACCTGACCAATTCATTGGGTCAACCAGTGTTACCCATTAAGGAGATGAACAATTGTTTGCCAAATTCCATTATTAAACATACAGATGCAACGATGCTGAATAATTCAACTTCCTATGCTAAATCTGAGAAATTACGTGAGAATGATAAAATTTCTGACAGAAGTAATATGGAACTCAATTTAAATCTTCATGATGGAACTGGAATATTAAAAAAGAATGTTAAAGGAGTGAAATTAATTGGAATGGATACTGGTACTTTGAGAAGAACTTCCTTGCAGGTAATATTTTTTAATTGTAAACAAACACTGTTTTCTTAAAGGTATCAATTTGACACCGAATTGGATTAAACTGGTACTTTCAAATTAACAGTGAATTCATTTCTATTATTGGTACTAATATTTTTGTAACTTAATTATTATTTGGCCTAATTATCACTTGACATAATTTCCATGTCGCCTAAACACCATTTCACATAATTATTATTTGTCATAATTTTTAATCTCCATTTATTCTTTTGTTTTGTCTTGAACTCAATTTTTATTTTGCCTAATCTTTATCAAATCTAATTCTTATGCGACCTAATCTTTAAGTAATCCAATTACTTAGCATAAACTTTATTTGGTCTACTCTTTAAATAACTAATTCTTATTTGGCCTAGTCTTTACCAAGTCTAATTATTATGTGTCCTAATCATAAAATTCTCCTTGCACCTAATCTTCATGTAACACAATTCTTTTTTAACCTAATCGTCATGAAGCGCATTAACAGGGTGGTCACTAAAATTTTCGAACAGAATTCAAAACTTTTTCACGATTCTAAAGCAAAAAAGGACAATCTTATTCGAAAAGTTTATAGATAGAGTGAAATAGAAAAGCGTAAACCACGGCTAGAAAGCATTTTCTTATTATTTATTATTCCAAAAGTCAAAATCATCAAGTTGAATTCAAAATTTTCCGGCGAATTCATGGTGTAACGCTAATTTAGATATTAGAAATATTAATTAAGAATAATAATAATCCACAATCCTGTGTTTAAATTACGTACTGTGATTTCTCTACACACTAATCTCCGGCCTACGAGCGTCTCTCATGGAAAGATTCCGCTAAAAACGGTCGAGAAACACGACGACGACCTGGTTTGAACTACCTGTTAACCCTTTGTATTGTACTTACGAAACACACTCTTGTTGAGATAATCCGCTGGATGACGATGAGGCTGCGACTTGACCCAATGAATAAAGACACAATAATTAATCGAACTTAACTATTTATTAATAATATATCTCACTACATACATTCAAATACTTTAATCCTGTCTTTTTAATATCACTGTTCGCTGACACACATTCGTATTATACGGCAGCTCGGATTAATCTGCTAATTGATTATTGCGCGCCCTCTTCCTTCCTGCTGGCCCATATCTATCTATCTATGATTTCTAATGTTTATTTTTAGGTTGATGCATTTGCTTCTTTACCCTTGTTGTCTGATAATGTAGTATTTGTTATTCTTGGAAGATGATCGAATTGAGGATTTTAGTAAAGGCCCACGTCAAGTATTTCTACTACGCGTGGGCGCCGAGTTTTTGGACGGCAGTCTTCAGGGTTGTAATCAATTATGTTTTGCAGTAGTATGTTTTCATGATTCTCGACTTGTAGAAATAGTTTTTTGGCTATATCCTGTGAGAATTTGCGTATACTAGGTACTTGCAAGTCTTTGTGTAGTTGTTCATTTGAGACAAACCATGGAGCTTTTGTTATTATCCTTAATATTTTGTTTTGTATGACTTGGATCTTGTTAATGTGAGTGTTTGCTGCCTGGCCCCAGGAGGCAATTGCATATGTCAGAGCAGGACGAATGACAGTAACGTAAATTAATTTCTTTGAAGCTAGATTGAGAAAGGGACTACTCAGTAGACACCAGAGTTTAGTTATTGCCATGAATCCTGTTTTCTTGATTTCGTTGGTGTGCGTGTTCCAGGTCAGCTTACGGTCGATGTGTAGTCCCAGGTAGTTTGCTTTATTCGACCAGTTGATGACTTTATCCACAACTTCGATTTTATCAGGAGGTGGATCACCTTTTGTTGGTGTGAAATACTGCTTGCGTCTTTTCCTTGTTGATGGTGATTTTCCAGGTGTCCATCCAGTCCACAACTTCATCCAGGGATTTTTGAAGTCTGGATATTGCAAGTTTAGGACTGCGAGACTGAGTTATAACGTGTACAGGTTATAAAGTATTGGACCAAGAACAGAGCCTTGTGGTACACCCGACAGAATGGGCCTGGTTGAGGAGAAAGTATTTTCCAATTTGACTGCAAAACTCCTGTTTTGAAGAAATGAATGAATAATTTTGACTAGATTTGTGGAAATTCCCGCCGTAGTTAATTTGTGAATAAGACCTTCATGCCACACTTTGTCGAAGGCTTTTGATGCATCCAGATAGGCAATTGCCGTGCAGTCTTTATGTTCATAACCTTTGTGAATTGTTTCCACAAGTCTGAGAATTTGCAGGTTTGAAGAGTGATTTTTACGGAAACCAAATTGTTCTAAAGGCATTAGATCTAATTCTTCAATTTCTGTCAGAAGTCTTGACAATATGATGCGTTCAAACAACTTATGGAAAAGGAAGAGAGAAAACTTATCGGCCGGTGATTTTCTGGTCTTTTATGATCTTTGCCTGGTTTTGGAATGGTGATAATGTGAGCTTTTTTCCAATCTGCTGACTGGCTCTTAGTCGGTGAGAATCCGGAAATATCTGGAACTTCCTAATCCTTCATTGGACAACGAACCACCTATACTAAGGAAAACCGCTGACACGCACAATCATACACATATGAATAGATTCTGTATTTGACATATTCGACGCTGATATCAATATAGAATTCACGACCATATTGGGGACTTATAGCTAAATAACGATATACTTCGTTATAATGGTTTTTTCAGCGCGTAAAGCTGAGTCCAGAATGGGCACGCTACGCGGTACGTTATAACGTTAACGTGTTGACGTCACAATTCTATTTTAAATGGGTGACTTCAACACGTTAACGTTATAACGTACCGCGTAAAGTGCCCATTCTGGACTTAGCTTAACTAAATCCACGCCGTTTTCTCGGTTTTCAAGATGCAAGGTTTCAAGATTCGGTGGTCTACCCTCAGATTAATTTTCTTCAAAATTTAAATTGGCCTAAATTCGATTGTCACGATCATCCTACAGCCTAATTCTCATTTGGCCTAATCTAAATTTGTCATAATTCTTACACTTGACATGAACTGTTTTTAATCTAATCCTTTTTTGAACTAATCGTTACTTGACATAATCATCATGTAACCTAATTGATTAATTAATTATTAATCGACCTAAACTTTATTTGACACTAGTTAATAATTGTTACATGAAGATTAGGCCAATTGATTATTAGGTCAAGTAAAAATTAATCCAAATAAGGTTAGATTAGAATGATACCTGACGAGAAGTAAGTTAAATAAACATTAGCTTATGCAAGAATTAAAACTATAAAGTTTGATCCTAAATAAGAATTAGGTTAAATATAAATTAGAATAAATAATTATTAGGACAGTTCAAAATTAGGCCAAATAAGAATTGGATTAAATACAGATTACAATATAAAAAATTTGAATAGTTAAAGATTTAGGCTGGAATAAGAATTAACATCATTCTATTATTTTATATATAAACATATCTATTATAATAATTAGGCCAGTTAAAAATTGTGACAAATAATAATTATGTCGTATAGAGTTTAGGTCGCATAAGAATTAGCTCAAATGGTGATTAGGCTAAAAGTGAATTAGATTACAGAAAAATTAGTTCAAATAAGTATTAAATTAAATACAAATCAAGCGAAGTGCGAGAATTAACTCATGATAAATTAATCAATGATGATTGTGACAATCGATTTTAGGCCAATGTGGACATAATTCATATTTTCGTCAATCTCTGATACCCTACTTGTCGAAAGTGAAGTATTTATTCAAATTGTTGGTAATTCGGGCAAAAATTCATATTTATTTTAATTTTGGGTGCTAAAGGCGTATCTATAATAATTGAGGTTCCGGATCTTAAAAGGGCATACGATCGAATTTGCATCACAAGTTCTGGTCCCTGAAGTTAAAATTTTGAAATTGTTCAACATTAGATTTTAACAGTTGGTTCTTATCGTTGGAATTTGATATTGAAATTTTCAAAATTTTAACTCCTGCAATCAAAAATTGTGATGCAAATTTGAGCGTATACCCTTTTAATATCCGGAGTCTCAAATTATCAATTTTGCAAAAATAGTTATAATGCTTTAATATACAAATTGATTATAAAACTATATGTAATATTTATGTTTCAGGGTACATTTTCACCAACACCTTCTGTGGAATTAGTTCATATACTGGATAGAAGGCAAAGTAATGGTTCCTTTGGTCCCAGTTCTTTGTCACCTGTGCCAGGAGTGGAGACTTGTAAAACACATGGAACCGCTGTGGGAGGTCATGGTGGCAACGAACATTGCAGGATCAAAAGAGGAATTGTCAGGCATCACAGGTGAGCATCAGTTTTATAATATTTTATCTCAATTTGACTTACACGATAATCCACATCACACGCGGTTGAGTTCAAAATTTGAAGTAAAATTAATATTTAAAACCAGTTTAATAATTTAGCAAGACTTTAAAGTTGTTAAGCACCAGTTGACAAATTAATGAAATTTTATGATTTTAAACGAACATGAGATGATTACTTTTTATAAAGGGAGAGGGTGATGGATAAAACCCAAGTAACAAAATTATGATTCTTTGGTGATTATACTTTTAAATATGAATCTACTTACAGCTCTTCTCGTTAATTCCTTGCAATATACACACAAAAGACGTCTTTTGTAACGCCTGCAAATAAATTATTTTATACATTACTTTATAAATATTTTCCATTGAGTCTGTTAAAAAAATTAATTGAGATATAATATAGGTATATAATTTTTTATAATTTTCAAGGTAAATTTTTTTTTTTAACTTTTATCATCTGCACACTGTTAGAAAAATCTGTATTAAATTTAATATATACAGTTCCATTAAATTTAATATACATTTACTTTAAATTTAATACACTTTATATTGAAAAAAATATTTCGTTCATTTGAACGTTCAAAACTTTTGGTTCATCTTGAGTTGTATACTTATACATTGAAGTTGAGAATAATTATTTCTTAATTTGCAATATAATTTCAGTTTTAATGAAACTGGTGATCGAATATTGACAACACTTGCCAGACAACCGACATATCCATCTATGCCACTTCGTCCTGAAGATGGACGTTTGACATTAAGAAGAGACAAAAGGCCTCATTCGATAATTGCTCGACATTCATCAGTAATGGAGGACAAGAATGTGCATATTTCAACATTTGGAACAGTAACTAGTCCAACTTGTGGAATGCATAATCCAACTATGCAAACGATGCAAACTTGCAATTATTTTTTGACTGATGACGAAGCTGTCAGCAGGTTCTAAGTGTGAGTTTGAAAAAAAAAGAAAGTATAAGAGCAATCAATACCTACATCCTCAGTTTTCAATTATAAATAAAAAAAAATTTACAAGAACATCATCTAACATAAAAAAAATAATTAACTTCAAAACATTATACAAGTAAAACATGTCTAATTCCCCAATATTATTTATTCTAAAATATTAATAATGTAAAAAAGTCTTTTTTCACTTTGAACAATTAAATTTTTTTTTTTTTTAAACTTATTCCAGAATTATTTATTTTAAAATATTAACGATTTAAAAAAATTTGTTTTAACGTTGAATAATTAAAGTTTTTTTTTTATTAATGATTCTAAAATTTTTTATAATTCATTTGTTGTGTAATATTTGAAATAATTGGATTATCTTAATTTATACTTATATATTCAACTACACGAGAAGTTAAAAAACGTCTTATTCGTATATAAATAAAAATTTAACTTTTAAGATAAAAATCAATATGTAAATATTAATTTTTTTAAAAAAAATAATTATAGTATTTCCATCCAGTAATCATAATTTTAAAGAAAACTCAAAGAATTTTTTTTTGTGATCAATATTATTTTATTGTAAATTCGTCTTCACGACGTTTCGATACCGTTAATATATTTATAGATAATGCAAATTTTATTATTATTATTATTATTATTATTATTTATAATTATTATATTCATCGTCATAAAATATAAACTAATTTTTACATTTTGAAAAAAACTTGATCTCAATCATAATGTAAAAAAAAAATTCTGAAAATTTTCTTTAAAATTTTGTAATACCTATACATATATATAGTAAAACATTTATTAATTTTAATGCACCGCTCATACATTGATTTCTAATAAAGAAATCAAAATTTGTAAATACACATACATTTAAAGTAGGATATAGAATTTAAGTGACAAAAAAAAAAATTCCAGAATTTCATAAATATTTTTAATTTAAAAATTTATCATTTTAAAATCTGGTATACAGCTCAAAAAATATCCCTCCATTGTGTAAGCAATTTTTTTTTCTTTTCTTTTTTTTTTTAACTGCAAATCTTGCAATTCGACTTTTTTATATTATTGAATCACTGACGAAAAGCGATTCCAAAATTATAAGGAAAAAATAATACTATATATTAAATTTATAAAATATAAAGAGAAAATTATTCTGGTGGTATATAAATTCTCTGCAAAGATATATCGCTTACTATTTAGTAAAAGAATAATAAAAAAAAAAATTTCGTACTCAAAAAAAAGAGATTACACGCGAAAATTTTTTCAATTCAACGTTAAATAAGAAAAAAATCAAACGAAATTACAATTATTTTGCATTATCATTGAAAAATTTTTTATAATCATATATATTTAATAAAACCTATATAATATTGTTTAGTGAATAAATTATCAATCCTTATTGATAACTTCTTTTTTCGCGCATTATTATTATTTTTTTTAATGATTTTTAAATAATCATTTTTATAAAAATAACATCCTAGACGATTTTTGGAATAATATACAGTCGTTTTTATATGAAAAAAAAGATCACATTTCACTTTTGAAAAGTTTAAAATATTCAGCGAAAAAAAATTTTTAAATTTACCTATAAATATTTCGAATGTCTTAAATAAATTTTATATGTATATATAGATAATTTTATCAAAATTTTTTTTTTTCGTTTGGATTTTTTCTTACGAAGAGGTATTTTAAAAAAATTCCACGTTGCTTTAAATAAGAACGTCCAATAATGAGTGCAAAATGCACGATAATCTGGAAATACGATATTTTTACACTGATTGTTCATTAATATTAAAAACTAGAAAGAAGCAATTAAATAATTAATATATATATATAGATATAATAACGTAAACTTAGCATTTAAGAAATGTTTAAGAAAAAATTACAATATTTAATAAATTTCATTGTTAAGTGTATATTTATAAAAAATATTTTTAATATTTAACTCTTTATAATGTCCAAAAAATTTAGCATATTTAATTAAAGTTAATTAATTATTTATTTAATACCATATAATTTACAATTTTTTATTAAAGTATGTAAAATTTATTATTATTTATTTGAAAAAAAAAATGTTTACTTACTATAAAAAAAAATTTTTTATTTTGAAAAAATGTGTATTTTGTTCTGTAAAAAAAATTTTTTCTCCTTTTTTCATGGACACTTAGAGAATTAAAATTAAAAACATAAGCAATTGTACATTTAATGCAATTTTAATATTAATATTAGAGAATTTATCGCATCTTCCCTTTGCTCAATACAGTAAAATAACAGGTAGAAAAATATCTTTTCTCGTACTTTAGATCATTTAAAAAAAAAAAAAAAAAAGAAAAAAATAAATTAAGACTGAATTTTTTGAAACCATTTTGTATTTTTAAGATTCTGAAAGCATATCTCCTGATAAAAATTTTAAATTTATTAAATTCTTTTTTAATAATCAAATTATTATCTATAAAATGTACTCTGAAAAAAATTTATTTTATTCAAATAATTGGTTACTTGACTATATTATCAAATAAATATTTACCAAATAATTTTTTTAATTTTCTTCATTTAAATAAAATAACCTCTATTTGAATCAATAATTTCTGTATTTGAAACAAATACAATTTAATTGTCTCAAATAATAATTTTATTTAATACATCTAAATCTTTTAATAAATAAGTAAATACAAATAAATATTTATTTGATAATAGTCAAGTACCCGATTATTTGAATTAAATAAATTTTTTCAGTGTGTGTTTTTTTTGTAAATTAATAAATTCCACTAAAGTCTGTTAATTTCCATTTTTCATAAATATTCAAAATAAGTATAATTAAGCAGCAAAAAAAGGGCCCAATTTTTGTAAATTTTCTTAATTAGGTTCATATGTGATTTTTATAACCTTTTTCCAAATCAATGAAAAATTTTGTACGAGTATTTCTACCTCCAACATTTTCTGTACTTTTGTAAAAAGATAAAAAAAAAAAAAGTGTACATCTACAGCCTGTATCAGTATTATTGTAATATTAAGTGGAAAATCGATTTTTACATATCGATTTTTCAAAAATAAAAATAAATAAATAAAAAATAATTGTAAGAATTTATAGTTGTAACAGAATATATAGTAATAATAATAAAAAAAAGACAGCATGCCAAAAATCTCTTGCCAAATTAAACAAAGTAGTATTTGAAAAATTATATGTTACAAAATATTAGTTATAAAATACTATTACATTAAAATAATAACTAATTGTGGCAAAATTTTCCAAAAAAAAAAAGTGATGTAATGTTTAAAAATAAAATAAGAAAATCAATGTGTGACAGTATATAGGAATATTTAATAAAAATAAACAATTTTCGATTAAAAGAAGAAAAAAAAACTTGGAATTATATTTTTTCTGCATTGGTAATTAATTATACTAAAATTATTATTTATTTAAATCGTGTGTTACATCTAAAAAAAAATTATATTAAATTTTTTGTTCTCAATTTCCTACTGTCGAAATGCAAACTGTTCTCATTTAAAAGTGTTCACAATTAAATAATTGTATTTGTACCAAATATAATAAATCACGAAGAAAAATGTTTATGAAAAATTGACACAATTTTTTTTTTTTTTTTTTTTTTTTTTTTTTTTTTTTAAATAAACTTTTTAATACAAAGAGTGAAACATGCCATTTCAACATATTGTCAATTTTTACATTTTTTTTATTTGGCTAAATTTTATTTATCTTTTTGCGCACTACAAAAAATATTTTCGTGATTTTTTTCTGGAATTTTTTTAAAATTTTTCAAAATTTCAAATTTTTTTCAACGTTTAACTTCGACGGGACCTGGTTTAAATTTTTTTTTAAAAGAAGTAGTTTTATTGAAAATTAAAAAAAAGTCGTTAAACATAAAAATGTCAAAGTCAACGATATGTGAAAATGGCATGTACATATTAATAATAATTAATCCATATTAATTAATTTAAAATATTAACGGAAAATAAAGGTAAAAATATTTTTACTGATTCGCATATATTAGTTTATTTTTTCTTATAAATCGATTATAATTCTATGTCATAAATATAAAAAGTAATGTAACAAATTTTTTTTAAGTAATTAAATTTAAAATCATGTAATAATTTGCAAAATATTTATTAAATTTTATTTTACTGTTCGACGAGTGTCTTCCACAAAATTCAACAAAGTGACAAACACTTTTCTTCGCTTTAATGTACCTAATTAATTATACATAATACAACAATGTAAAATGCAGTACATGTAAATTATTTGTTAAACTATCTTATGTAATTATTAGGTAAACTTACTTGTACAAAAACCTTCAATTTTCATACATTTCAATTATTTCTACTATTTATTAATTAAAATTCAATTAAAAAAAAATTATTACTTTTATTAAATAATAAATAAATTATAGAAAAAAAAAGAAGAAGAAATTTCTTTTCTTAAATTGATAATAATTTTTTATATACAAAATAAATTTCAATAACATTTTTGTTAAGAAAAAAGAAAAGAATTTGAAAAACTGTGAAAATTGAAGTTTAATCTATTTAATAATTAGATTTTAAGGGAAACACAATATTGTGTATTGCGTGAATTACGTGCCAAATTTTAGGAATAAAAAAAAAATACTTAGAGATACCTATAAGTATTCTCGTGATTTGTTCAAAATTCAATGAAGTAAACTTCAGAATTTATAACAAATCGTGTATATGTAATTTAGATATCTTAATAATATATTATACATATACATTATAATGAAGCCTGCAATTAAGCGTCTTATTCAATTATTCGCCTAAGATTGTCACAACAAAAATATAATATCTTCTTATTCCACTTTCAATTATATATTTCGCAAAATAAGTTATGTTCGATTTTTTTTTTTTTTTTATAAATATTTTCAAGTTCTGTGTACTAGATTAGTAAACAATTATTATTGTAACTTCAAATTAAGAAAATAAATTTGTGATTCTATTTAATGAAAAAACATTTTTTTTCTTGCATTTAATTTTACTTATTATCGTTTACCTACTTATTTTTTTTTTTTTTTGGTATAGTTTGTAATATTTTTGTATTAATATTTTGCAGAATTTTCATCAAAAAAAATTTTCTATATTACAGAATTTTTTTACTTATTAATTATTAATATTTAATTTTATTTAACAGAATTTCTAATTGATAGAATTTTCATCATTTGTCCGAAATTACAAATGGCCGAACAAACAATCGACAGAAAA